ACATATATGTGGTTTCCATCAGCTTAAATAAAGGGTTACAAAATGAGAAATAAAAGCAAAATATTTTAGTTTCGAATTTTCTTCACAACAAATTTTCATCAACATCAAGAAACAATCAGAACCACTTGCTACCAAGTGGGTAAAATATTTGAACCAAACACAGCCAGTACTTGCTCACTCTCTTTAAAATTGGAAATGAATCTCAAACCATAAAATTCCCATATTTTGTGACATGAAAGTAGACATCCTAAGCTTTAATTTGATACCTCACACATCCCATGTGGTTGAGAATTAAGTGAGTTATGGGCTTTCTAAATCGCGTACTATACTAGATAGCATAAATTTTGGCAACACCTTATTGTATTTTGATATAAGGGATTGTCTCAAATCATATGGTGCCTAATTGACCAATTTCAACATTTCCATTATAAGATATACAATAGCATATTCCATTCCTTTGAATTGCATCAGCATATACATATGTCTTAGGCATCAAGCCATTAAATTATGCATTACTTGCATTTTAAGCTATCTCATTTACATACTTTACATACATGCTTTAAGCTCGTAAAACTCCATTACTTATTCATACACAACCTTGCATCCCATTCATTGCTTTCATTTCATCATAGGTAAACTACCAACATGCTTTTCTCATTCATGCATCGTTTCATACTATGATGCTCATCCTTGTGAACATCTCATTTACGTAATTCACATTTCAACATAAATATCCAATTACATCATCATTATCTCATGGACATAAAGCTGTTTGTAACATAAAATTACATAATCCATATACGTTGTAATCTAAACCAATATACAGGAAAAAAATTAATTTATTGTTTTTTAATAAAAAATTACAAAAATATAGTCGTTTTGAAATTATTTACAAATGTATAGCAGTCAAACACGTCCACATGGGACGTGTTCCAATAGAGAGAAACACACCCATGTGGGGCGTGACCTATGAGGCAAACACGCCCACGTGAGGCGTGACCAGGAGAGAGACACGTTTAAGAGAGACACGCCCATGTGGGGCGTGACCTAAGAGAGAGACACAGCCACATGGGGCGTGACCTCCCTTGGTACAATTCTTATATGTACAAATTCCTTAGAAAAAGCTGTTTGTACAGCAAAAGCTCAGTAAAAGCTTTATCAATTGCTTTTTGGGTTACACGCTTTTTGGGAAACAACTTTATCAAGAGAGAGTCACAGGCTTTTTGGGTTTTGCTTTATCAATTGCTCAGTAAAAGTTGTTTCCACCACAAGACTTAAAAAAAAACTTAAATAAAGTTCTTTGATTGTTTGTTGTGTTTTTTATTTTATATTTTAATAAAGATATAATCATTTGTTGTTTTTTATATTTCTATTATGAAAACTTTTGAAATAAAATAATAAAGATATAATCATTCTTATCAGTACAAATCCTCTCTGATGTCTGCTTGACCACACATCATCGAATATTGGGATTCGATCTTCATGGCGGGAAAGGAAAATCAACCAAAACAAAATTAGAAAAGCAAAAAAAGTTGGAGTTGACCAAGCAAGTCAAGTTCCGTATCTGTTTTTTTTACTACGAGGTCTAAAAAATTCACATACATTATTCATATTGCATCTTTGAAGAACCTATCTTAATTTTTTTTTGTTGCTTCTGACCTAGGGAGGTCACGCCCTTTTTGGGCGTCTCTCTCTCCTGGTCACGCCCCATGTGGGCGTCTCTCTCCACTAGGTCACGCCCCACATGGTCGTGTCTCTCTCCACTAGGTCACGCCCCATGTTGGCGTATTTGACTGCTATAGTTGCGTAAATAATTTCAAAACGACTACATTTTCGTAATTTTTTATTAAAAAAACAATAAATTAATTTTTTTGCCCCAATATACTTCATTGGAATTATGCAAAATATCCTTCATCTAGGCCTCAAAACATACATCCTTATAGGAATGCTCAAAATAATTCTTTTTACATGTTATATAATGCTATGTCATAACATTTAAGTGGGCTTTTTGCCACGTGATGCTCCCTCTCTGTCTATGGAGGTACCTGAAAAGTATTCCCCAAACACAGGTGAGATATATATCTCAGTAAACTAAGGGTCCTTGGAGGATCACTCCATCCTATAGTTCACTTAAGGTGCATACATAATAGCTGAACATAACATACATAAATCATCTCATATATGTTGGAACCAGTGGCGGAGCCAGGATTTTGGGGGGGGGGGGGAGGTGGGCGAAATTTAACATTTTATCTTGTATAATATTAGTGTTTCTCTACCTATTGACCTCACAGCTTCATAGAACTCATTAGGTAATTTTTTACCAAAATATTAGCATTTAACAATATTTCAAAGACTAAAAAAATGTACTGTTGGCGGGGTGCAATAGACATAAAAGTAGTTTAAAGCAATATTTAAAAGAAGAAAAAAGCAGAGTGCCTTCATTCAACATTAACATTATCTAAATAGTGCTTTTAATTATAATCTTTTTTTAAAAAAAAAAAGACAACAACCAAGTTTCCTCAAAAAGTGAATCTTTTAAGTTAGAGCAAACTCATTTTCTCTAGATGAAACCACTACACAAAGAGAAACACAACCATGAATATGAAAAAAGAGCAAAAAGGTGGCAAAAAAGTCAAAGCTTTTATGAACCTAAACAAACTAAATGAAGATAAAAAAGAAAATGCAAAAAATGGTAAACATAACACTCACATTAGGTGAAGTGGAAGTAGATTTCAACTTAGATCTCAAACCAAAACTTCCAAAAGAAGCACGTTTAGTAGCAACAACAGTACGATAATCCCAAACCCTTCTAGTAGAATCCAAACTAAACTTCCTCATCTCCAAACCCTCCTCCACAAGACAGTTCACCTTAAAAGATAGTGACCCTCTCTTCATCTCATCCTTTTTCTTCAAACCACTACTACTATTGTTACTGCTAGTGCTAGTGTTACTCTTGTTATTCCCTTCTTGGATCTTGTGAAACGATCCTTTAAAGTTGTTACAGTAACGTGCAATGAGTCACTGGAAACCAAGTAATAGGGCTCCCAATGTAGGGTCTTTTCTCTTGGGAAGAGGGTTTAAACCGCAAACCACAAGAACATGGGAAACTGAGTCAAGGCGAGTCACCATGGATGGGTTTGACATGGTCCGTTCATAGAGATCTACTAATCTTCGAGTTTTCCCCTTATAATTTGATGAACATCATCAGATCACTTTGCGTTTTTGGGGGGGGGGTAAGGTGGGGGATCGTTATGCCAATAATGAAGCCTCTGGTTAGAACTTCCATGAGACTTCTGTTTTGTCTCATAAGAATCAAACCAAGGAATTCTTCTTCTTCCAAGGGGTGTTCCTACAATGTCTGGTATGGTCCTTTTATGAGACTTCTGCTTTGTCCCATAGGAAGCAAACCACAAGGAAAACCTCACCGGGCTATATCCAAGGAAAGTCCATACATGCAATTACTTCCAAGAGACATAGAGAGATAAATCTATTGGCTAGAGATACATCTCAAATATACATCAACATCATAGACATAACTCAAATCTCATTAGAACCACCTAATAACCTTTGGCATAGGCTTTCTAGGATCACCTAACAACCTCTAGTATAAGGTTTCCATTACAGAATTATATATCAGGCAATACATCCATACTTATGATTCATACATAATTATTAATGTTCATCATCATAAACATTCTTTCTTATCATTAATCATTCATCTTAACATAATTTCGTAAATCTCAATGCATCATGTTATGCTCCAAAGCACCGATACGTGCAATCTGAGGAAAAATGATTGTCGGACACGTGTCGGACACCGACACGTTCTGACACGCGTACAACACGTAGTTGACTTTTTTCGACACGTTGACTATCCCGACACGTGACTTTGACCGTGTCTGACACGGTCAAAGGGTACAAATGTAATTTTATTGACATTTTTATAAAATTAAAATAATTTTAAAATAAAAAAAATTTAAATCGGATGTTTTTTTATAACCCTAAATCAAAGCGCTCAGACTCACTTTCTCACTTTCGTCTTCTCCGTCGCTCACCTAGCCGTCCGTCAATGTTTCCAACTGTGTTCTTAGTTCTCAACCAACCCCTCAAATTTATTGTTCTCCACTGTAAGTTATCTCCTGGACATAGCTTCGGTCACCATCATCGTAGCTTTGCAGCTTCCAGGTGTGTTCTTCGTCTCTCTTGCAACTAGTTTCTGCAATATTTTGTCTCGTGCTCTTCCTTTTGTTCTTTCTTATGATATATGGACAATATTATTTATGATTATCATACTTTTTATTTTTTTCTGCTGAGAGATTCTGAAATGTATGATTTTATTGTTTGAAAAATTTGATGCATACAACCTGTTTGTATTAATGGCTGAGAGTCCTACGAACATGATATTATGTGTGTTAGTCCGACACACCATAGCATGTGACTTAGTGGTAAATGATAATTTGAGTTGCATTGCAAGGCTGAGAATCTGACTAGTTCAACAGAGCTCGTGCTTGAAGCTTCATTTTAGGTGGTTACATTGCGACAGCGGTTGCACTGGAGTTTGAGCAAATTCTCTTTGGCATTGGAGTCTGGACAGTTATTGCTGTGCTTTTGTTCTGATTCAATTTATAAGGTTCTTGTTGTCAATTTGGTCTCTTTATCACATCCCAATTTGTGGGTCTTTTTTACCAATTATATACTATATACCAACCCGACAACGATTAAGAATGAAATGGTACCCAAAGCAAGGAAGCTAAAAAAAAGAAGCATTGTTTATGTCCAACACATTAGACACTTAACACTCATGTCAAGTTATCAATTTTCCACGACCTTTATAGTGCTTTTAGGAACAAAAATATCAAATTATCACATTTTATACTTATTAGATACTTTCTACATCATAACACCATTTAGGCATACCTGTATAGTTTTGTTTCTTGTATTTAACCAGTTCACCATGTTGCTGCATATGTTTTGTGTCTCTTATACATGTAGTGTAAGTGATGGGGACAACTAATAGCGGCACTCACTTGACAACAGCAAGAGATGAGTGCGAAGCTACTACAAGGGCTGTAACTAAGTGATTTTTTTGAGTATTATATATGAATGAAAATGTTTATTCTTTGTGGATTGAGCTCAAGTAGCCCTGCATATAGATTACAAAATAATAAAATTAGCTGAAGTACTCCTGTAAAAAAATGATGAATAAATATCATAACTTTTTATTTGTTTAACACATTTATAGGATTACAATATGGATCATTCAAGTTCTGCCTCTGCCAGTGGCAGTGATAGCGCCACTGCTGCTAGTGTATCTGCTGCCAATGAATTACTGGATAAACCCCTATGGAAATATGTTACCCAATTGGATGCTAGAGTGGAAGCAGGAGGGAATTTGTCTTGGAAGTGTAACTTTTGTAAAAAAGATTATAAAAGTTCGTATACTAGAGTGAGGGCTCACTTGTTAAAAATACCAAGCAAAGGAATTGGGAAATGCTTAATGGTGCAAAATAGAGACATGATAGAGATGGAAAAATTGGAACAGGAAGCTGAACAGAGAAAGCAATCTAATGCACCTAGAAATGTACCTTTACCCCCTTCTAGCTCTTCCACTGGCCCAAAAAAAAGAAAAACTACGGGTTCTCTTGAGATGGCATTCAATGTTGGGGAACGAGAAGAATTAAATTATCTGATTGCTAAAATGTTTTATTCAGCAGGATTGTTATTCAATTTGGCAAAGAACCCTTACTTCCAAGCTTCATATACTTATGCAGCAAATCATAATATTGGAGGTTATTTGCCACCGGGATATAACGCGTTGCGAACCACTATGTTGCAAAAAGAGAAAGAAAATATTGATAGGTTGTGTGAACCTATTCGAGAAGCGTGGACTCATAAGGGGGTGAGTATTGTAAGTGATGGGTGGAGCGATTCACAAAGGAGGCCTCTCATTAATTTCATGGCAGTATCTGATGGTAAAGCAATATTTTTAAAATCAGTTGATTGCTCGGGGGAGATTAAGGATAAAAATTTCATTTTCAGGTTGTTTGTTTGGACTTCTGTAATCTGATTGAGTGTGTTTGTTTGTTTGCTCGAGAATGACTAATGATGAAAATTTCATTTTCAGGTTGCTGAAGGAAGTTATTCAAGAAGTAGGAGAGGCGAATGTGGTTCAAGTAATCACAGATAATGCTGCAAATTGTAAGGGAGCAGGGCAACTGATTGAGCAGGAATTCCCATCAATTACCTGGACACCGTGTGTTGTTCACACATTGAATTTGCCTGTGAAAAATATTTGTGCTGCAAAAAATGTGGAGAACAATCAAATAACATATGAGGAATGCAGCTGGATTTCTGATATTATAGGTGATGTTGCTGCAATAAAGCATTTCATTATGAATCATTCTATGAGATTGGCAATCTATAATGAGTTTGTGAGTTTGAAGTTGCTTTCTATTGCTGATACTCGTTTTGCTTCAATGATTGTGATGCTGAAGAGGTTCAAGTTAATAAAGAGCGGTCTCCAAAATATGGTGATAAGTGAAAAATGGAATATTTATAGAGATGATAATCTTGGGAAGGCCAGACTTGTGAAGGAAAAATTATTGGATGATTGTTTTTGGGATTCAGTTGATTACATACTTGCCTTCACTGCTCATATTTATGATATGATCAGAGCTTGTGACACTGATAGAGCTTGTCTTCACTTGATATATGATATGTGGGATTCAATGATTGTGAAAGTGAAGAAAGCTATATACCATAAAGAGAGGAAAAGGATGGAAGATAGCTCCTCTTTTTATGATGTGGTGCATCGCATTCTTGTGGATCGTTGGACAAAAAATTCAAGTCCACTACATTGTTTGGCACATGCTTTAAATCCCAAGTAAGTTTTTAAATATGATTCAGTTTAAAATTAATACTCCTCTTGATATAATATGACAAGTTGTTGATTGATTTTTTTTTTCTTTTCTTTTAGATACTATAGTCAACAATGGCTTCAGGAAGATTCTAGTCGAGTTCCTCCACACATGGATTTAGAGCTTACTCAAGAGCGACAAAAATGTTTAAGGAGATTCTTTCCTGGCATGGAGGACCGAGGCCGGATTAGTTTGGAGTATGCAGATTTTATTAGCAATAGTGGAACCTTTGGCGATTTTGATGCCATCAATACTCAATACACTATGGATCCGAAATCTTGGTGGCTACTTTATGGTACTTTTACACCGATGCTGCAAAAAATAGCATTGAGACTTGTGCAACAACCCTCCTCTTCATCATGTGCTGAACGCAATTGGAGTACTTATTCTTTTGTGCATTCCATCAAGAGGAATAAAATCACTCCAAAACGTGCTGAAGACTTGGTTTATGTGCATAGCAATCTTCGACTCTTATCAAGAAAGACTCCTAGTTATGCACAAGGAGCAACTCAAATGTGGGATATTGCTGGAGATACATTCGATTCACTTGATGATGTTGGAGATCTTCAATTTGCTAGTCTTTCCCTTGATGAGCCAGAGATAGATGCTGTGATTATTCAAGATGGAGATGAAAATAATTGAACTTGTAAGTGGTCTACACTCTACACTCTTGGGATATTCTATTATTTTTGCTTAATATTTATGTTATGGAATTTGAATATTTGATTAGTTATATGATTTATTATGAGTTGCTATATGTATTAAATATAAACTATATTATATATATTAAAAATATTATTTAATATCAAAACGTGTCCCAGCGTGTCGGAATTTAGCATTTTTTAGAATTAACGTGTCAAAGTGTCGTGTTGTGTCGTGTCCCGTGTCCCGTGTCAGTGTCGGTGCATCATTGATGTTATGTCATGCTACTACCATGCATAATGCATCATCTGCAACCATTACTTTAATGGAACATGGAGGAACACACAAGGAGAATAATGTAACGCTTGGCAACTTGCAAGGATCAATAGTTGTCCCCGCAAACTAATACTAGACTTTTCAGCATGTTTTGTCCTCACTCACACACTTCCTGGGAAAACTTCTCAGGAGGTCATCCTTCGCAGAATTGCTTCAACTCAAACACGCTTAACTATGGAGTTTTTCTGTTCTGGGCTATTGAAAAGTAGATGCATCTTGTTAGTATAGGTAGTACCAGTTAATTCTTATAAGTTATCCTCAACTGTACCGTCCCATACCAGCACATTCTCTGAAATCCCTCTCTTTCAGGTGTTGATTCGATTCATTTATGTACCCCTTAGCTACAAGATTTGGTATGAGCCGCTCATTGTATGTGTCTATTTTGACCGACAATCACTCCCTGCCTTTACCAGCCCTTGGGATGTTACATGCCCACCAGCTTCCACCTGGTTCGTCCTCGAACTACACCATATCGAGAAAGAGGCCCTGCTCTGATACCACTTGTAACGCCCGGCAACTTGCAAGGATCAATGGTTGTCCCCACAAATTAACACGAGACTTTTCAGCGTGCTTTGTCCTCCTCACTCACACACTTCTTGGAAAAACTTCCCATGAAGTCACTTATCCCAGAATTTGCTCCAAGTCTAGCATGCTTAACAATGGAGTTCTTCCATTTCGAGCTACCGAAAAAGTAGATGCATCTTGTTAGTATAGGTAGTACCAATTAATTCTTGTAAGTTATTCTCAACTGTAACGTCCCATACCAGCACAGTCTCTGGAATTTCTCTCTTTCGGGTGTTGATTCGATTCATTTATGTACCCCAAAGATGCAAAATTTGACATGAGTCACTCGTTCTTCGTGCCTCTTTTGCACCGGCGATCACTCTCTGCCCTTGCCAGCCCTTAGGATGTTACAACTAACACCAAGGTCTAAAAGTTTACTTGTCGTAGACTTTTGAAACATATTCTTTTCTGCTTCAAGAGCCTCAATCACAACACACCACACAAGTTCAACCTATGGAAGAGTGCGAATGTGACAATCAATATACAAAACACATGATACATTGAGCTATTGACTAGAATCTATCCTTAAACATCAACTTCATGACCTACCTCTTTGATACAAATAAAGAACTTGGGACTTGAATAAGTGTAGGTTCCAATGGGAGCTCTTCCACCAAGGAAAGACTACAATTTTCATAAACAACACAACAACCACCATCAACATCTATGTTTTACGTCTCAAATATTATAAACTCAACACATTTTCATGACCAATTTTCAAAGTGGCTCAAATAGTGATTTCATAATTTTTCCTTTGTCAAGGACCAATCTTTAACATATTTAACAAAGGAAACCATATCCAAATTAACCTCTAACTACTCAAACTCTAAATTTTTGAAATTCACTATTCATGCAACCTAGATTTTCTAACAATTGATGAAAACTTGAAATGAGTAGTGAAATCTTATCACAAATCTTTCTAGAATGCTTGGAGGAAGATATTTCAAGCTTTGGTAAGCTTAAACACCCTTCAAATCTCAAAACTCACAAATTTTCCTAATACTTTGAGAAGGAAGAACTCTCTACAATGGCTTCCACTTAAAACTAAGGTACGAGTTTTACTCTTGGGAAAAAACTAAGCAACTTTGGCTTTAGAAGTTTTTGTTTTCATGAACCACAACTCAAATGGATATTTTGCCAAGCTTTCCTCTCCCAAAAATGGTGTCCATGACCTTAGGAGGAAGAAGAAGAAGTCGAAGGTGGGTTGGTTTTGTTAAGGATGATGCTTAACTCACTTAAGCAATAGTTGACCAAAGTCAACATTAGTGATTTGGTGAAATTGCTAGTTTACCCTCACTTTCTTATTTCTTTCTAACCAATTAGCTTAACATTTCTAAACATGTCTTTTTATCTCATAATCCATGAATTAAATCATCTATCATAGATTTAACATCACTAAAATAATGAAATAATTTCTCACTAAATCATTTTCGAATTTCAGGTAACTTTTGCAAAACTGTATTTTTATCCCAAAACTCTCTGTAGTTGCTTTTTTATCTGAAAAATGACTCTATTCTCGTAATTAGATTCCTAATCTAATTATTATCTTATAAATTATGAAAAATCTCTAATTTCTCATTTTACGGGTTTTGGTTATTATACTCACAACACAACCATAAGTTCCAAGTTCAAATCTTAAGAATGAAGAAGATAGTGTTTGAATAGTTGCCCCCGACAATACTAGAAACAAGTTTAATGAGTTTGGGTACCAAAAAGAAAAATTTATCATATTACAAAATAATTTGTAAAATTTTTGTAAATATTAGCTAGTCCTTTTACCTAATGAAAAAACTTATTTGACACATTAAGTGCGTATTTAACTCATTCATAATGTTCCATGTGTACTTCCATAGGATTTTTTAAAACAAAGGAAAAAGGAATAAATAGTTGGTACTTAATAAATTCAAAAATTATCTCATGAATCTATCTCCCTCTGAACATTACCTTGCAAGTTTCTAATAAACATATCAACACCCTGTGAAGTAACACCTGTTTTTCATTCCTTTCTATCTCTTTGAGCTCCCTAACGGTGATCGTTTAAAAACTATTTAGTAGCAAAACCTCTCCTAAGTCCTAACAGAATATACTCAAAAAAAAAACTAAAACTAAAATTATCGTGTAAATAACAAATCTATAGGAGATGTTTGGTAGAGGTTTTTTTTAGGATTCCCGGAGAATTATAGGTGGTAATCTTATTTTATTTACGTTTGGTATAAGATTTTAGAAAATTTTCTCGAGAATCTAATTTTCCTAAAATTTGTTTTGTGAGCAATTTGTATGCCAAAATGTCATTCAAGAATACGACCAGAAGGGTGGTATTCTTGGGTTCCCCATGAAGTGGGAAAATTTCACATTATTTTCTGGACAAAATTAACCCTCTCTTGATAGTTCGTAGACCACTTTTCCCTTCTCTCTTTCTCTCTCCAAAGTCCAAACTTTGGATTTGTGGAATTTCTTTTATTCCTAACTGGTTCCAAGGCTCCTCAATCTCCTCCTATTGTTCTTTCTGTTAATTGTTTTTTAAAGGTTCAGTTTTTTGTTTTGTTACATATGCCCATTAACATTTTATTTTCCGGAGTCAATGCAGTTATGTTATCTGGAAATTAGAGTTTTAATTCGTGGCCGGGGGTGATTGATTTGGGTTATCTATGATAAAAGAAATGTAACTGAAGAAAGTGGTGTTGCATATACCCATTAGCATGTAATTGCTGGGAAGTTTAAATGTGGGCCGTCTCAAACTCATTGATGTTATTTTTGTAAAATTATCTTATATTTTCAATAATATTTTACAATCAATCAAACAGGATAAAAAAAAATTAACTTAATATTCTCAAAAATATTTTAGTCTATCAAATAATTTTTTAATAACATTTTCAAAAAATTCACTTTCTACTATATTCTTAGAAATTGTGATTCTCTCACTAAAAATAAATTTCTTCTACCAAACAGTCGCTCAGGAACTAAAGACACGGACAAGGTACTGCTACATGATTTAACTTCAATATACTTTGTAACCGATTGCTCCGTCACTGTAAAAATTCATTCTGATGCTAAAGGCTTAATGGGATCAATTGTATATTTGAACTTTAATTTTCTGTGGAGAATTCGACCTAACCTTAATTCATCGTTTACTGATTCGAAATAAAATACATTGAATCGGAGTTGGGAAGTGACAACTTTTTTTTTCACCAATAAGAGACTAGCTTTTTACATTGAAGTAAATTCTATATTCATTCATGACAAAAGTATGGTCATAATCCGAGGGTACAACGCTCAAGGCCTCCTCCCACCAGGTGGAAGTTATATATATGCAAAAAATTAGCTTGTATTAATTCTTCTTGGAGGTAACAGACAAGGAACAATTTTCTTCAACATGAACAGGATCTATACTTCTGAATAAAGCGGGGAAGATGCTCAACCTCATTATCTCAACAAACTACTGCAAACAAATTTATGTTGGGTGCAACGCCTTCCAATTTATGTTTGAAGAAAAAAAAAAAAGGTATGCTTCTCAACTTTTTTTTTTATCAAAATATTTTTTTTCTTCTATAAACATGAAATTGGTTAACAGAGCCTTAAAATCTTCATCAGTCAAGCCTCAAAGAAGAACAAGGAATTGAACAAGATATTTGTCCCATTATCCATTGATCACATTTGAAGAACAATTTTAAACTGCTGTTCAAAACTTAGGACAAAGTATTTCAACCATCAAAAAATGAAGTCACTAAGTTGCGTCCTCTTTCCTTTATGGCCATTGCTTTTTACAATATATGCACTTCCTTCCACATCTGCACTCAAACAATTCATCCTGTGCCTGACCCATAGTACTAAAAATGTTATTTGAGGGGAACAACGTAGAAAAATGAAACAATGGCACATAGATATCTTCACCTTGGCTTCAAATATGTCAAGGCTATGCATATTGGGTGTCTGACAAAGATGTTTGTATATAGTGAATGGTCATGAAATTACAATACGTATGTCCGATGCCTTCTTCAGCAGACATGCCCATTTTATGTGTGGGCATGTTATGTCTTTACAAAGACATAGCGCTAGGACACGAGACTTGACCAATCAATCATGAATTTTACTATTTCTATACCACAAAATTTATAGTGACAAACTTCATATGAATGTTTTCAAAAATTTGAGACTTTTAACCAACATTACAACAAAAAAAGTTCTCAAAAGCTTTAAATAACATAGTAGTGTAAATTCAAGATGCAATTATTTTTCTTTTCATCTCTAAAATTGTTTAATATGAAAGTATACAGACAAGCTTAATATAAACAAAAAAAAAAGAAATTTAAAAGTTTTTATATGACAAAAATTGTTACCATGTTATTAAAAAAGAATTAGTGTTTGTCTTTTTAAAGGACATAAAGTTGTGTCGGTGTGAGTTTTTTTTTAATTTAAATTTTAAATAAAAAACACTACTTTTAACTAAAAGGACCATCCTTTAAAAGGACAAACATACTTTTAAAGGACATGAAGTTATGTCATTTTAAGTAAGAGAAGGAGAGAAATAATGGAAATCATGGGGGGAGACTCGAGAGAGTGGGAGGTTTTTTTTTAATTTAAATTTTTAAAAGGACAAACATTTTTCCCTATTAAAAATCATAAATTTTTAGTATGACAAATATTTTTCCCATTTATTATATATGTAACATTGAGAAATGGTATTATTCAAAGTTAAATATCCAAGATTTTTTTACCAAAAAAAAAAAATATCCAAGACTTCGAAGTATAACACCAAATAAAGGCATCTTACGATGTCCTTCCAAACACGGTCCTTGTAAGTATCCAAGCATCTTGTGCTCAGACATCCAAAATTCCAAAACAACTAAGATATCTATGAACCAAACACCTATTTAGGAGTAGTGACGATACTTACCAGGTGAAGTGGTCTTCACAGCATATAGAACCCCATATAATCGAAAGCCCAGCTCCTTTCCTTCATATGACAAGCAAATAACATATCTGTATTAAGCTAATAAGAAAAGAATGGAGGGAAAAAGTTAACATTACATAAAGCATAAACACAGACGACTAACATCTGTATTCTGTACAAATATGCATGCAAATTGACAATACATGTCACAGTTAGATATAGAGCAAATGATATTCCAGTCCTGTCAAACCCAAACTTAGTCTTAAGAGTTGGTATTTATAGTCCAAAAGTGAATTATCTACCATAAATGCCCTCCACCTTACAACTTTTCAAGGAAAGGAAATTAAAAAAAAAAAAGCACTATTCCAAAATTTCACATGCATTACAGGGTATTACGATTCAATCCAGAAATACGTTTATATTATCACATAGTTCAAAAGTAGATTAAGAAAGAGGGCAGTGATATGACGAATTGAAGAAACCTACCATGTTGCAGTATACATGTCATAGAACTTTTCAAAGGCTTTATCAAAGCAAAAGTGGCAAACCAAGAGATCCTTGATGTCAGTGATCTTGCATGTTGACTTGCAGCATTTAACCTACATTAACACAGATTGACAAAAGCTGATAGGCATATAGGATAAAACAAGATTGTCATTCAAATATATGTGTTACAAACCAGAAATGGGTCTGGGATCTGAGTTTTCAGAGAGAGAGAGAGATGAGAAAAATAGAGAAAGGAAAGAAAGAAGAATACTTTGATGGTGTTCATTGAATTACAAACCTAAATAGAGAATTCTCCTTCTAAGGGTTTCCCTTTCCCAAAACGTTTCCCTTTTCACAATAAAGCCTTTGCTAAGTTCTCAAATCTGAATTCCCAAATGCTTCCCTCTTACCTTGCTCCCGCTATTTAAGCCCAAACTCTTGTGCCTAACTACCTATTGTTGAGTATGGCTTCTACTTTGCATATATTCGATGAATCATCCCCACCTGATGCAGATAAAGCCAATGGGTTTCTTTGTAATTCCTTTATTTAGTAGTTTGGGTTCGGGCCCTTGAAAAGGTGTTATGCATTAGGGTTTTCTGAGTCTATTTATATTCTCTTGTAATTGAATGCTTGTAAAGAGTGGGTGAGGAGAATACCGTGATAGACTTGCTAGACGTAGCCCTACATTGGGATGAACCAATATAAATTGTCTCCTGCTTTTCTCTCTTTTCTCTACCTTGGATTGTGTGTGTGTGATACAACACCGACTATAATGATGTATAGGAAGCATTGTAGGAGACCCACACTTCTTAATGTTGACTCAGAAAAACAATTAGAAGAGAATATTCTAGAAGTGGGTATGGAGGAAAATTTGTAAGGGAGGCGTGGGAAAAGTGAAAATGCTTAAGAAGGATGATAAAAAGAGAGGAAAGGAATGGACTATAGTTGTTAGTAGTAGTTAGCGGCCGGTAGCAGCCGACCCCGAAAATGGTATAACGGTGTAGCAGGTAGCGGTTACGGTGAAGTATTAATTCCACATATATTATACTCACAGTCAAGAAACGAGGCAATACCGCTTTTAGTATAATGCTCAAATATAAGAAGTCACACAAAATCAAACACATAATTCCACAACCAATGTCAAATACAAGGAACATAAAGGAAGGATCCAAAATTAAACACAAATGAACAATAAAATTGTCAAATAGCCAAGTACAAGAAGTGAACTAATGAAGAAAATCATCATCATCTCCGGATTCTCCATCAAATTCCAATATGGGAGTGGTGTAGCGGGATTGCCGTTACGCTACGCCGCTACGGCCAACGTCGCGGTTTGTATTGGCCGACCACCGCTACCCGCTATGGTAGCGGTTTAGCGATGCTATGGGCCGCTACTGACAACCTAGGAATGGACAAGGCAAGCAATTAGTTGGGATTGGAATTGAGACTTGAGAGAGAACAGTAGCCGTTCAAATGCTACTGACCTATCTTTCTTTTCTGCAAATTAATCTGTAACACCTTTCTCTTAATATGCGATTTTCCCTTACTTTCTTAGTTCCATTTAATATGTAATGTTACCAGTCACTTACGTGAATAGAGAAATACAAATTTATTGTTTTAGTTTCCATTATTTCTATTCTTAGTTCCATTAAATATATATTGTTACCAGTCACTTACGTGAATAGAGAAATACAAATTTATTGTAGTTTCCATTATTTCTATCCTTGTTTCTGATTTAAGAAAGTAAGGGACAATTGCATATTAAGAGGATGGTGTTACAGATTAATTCGCAGAAAAGAAAGATAGATCATAAGCATTTAAGAGGCTACTGTTCTCTCCCAAGTCCCTATTCCAATCGCAACTAATTGCCTGGCTTGTCCGCTCCTTTCCTCTCTTTTTATCATCCTTCTTCAGCAGTTTCACTTTTCCCACACCTCCCTAACAAATTTTCCTCCATACCCATTTCTAGAATATTCTCCTGTTTTGCTGAGTCAACATTAAGAAGTGTGGGTCTCCTATAATGCTTCCTATACATCATTATAGTCGGGGTTGTATCAGTGTGTGATTGCTTTCGTCGTTACACCTAATCCCTTGATAGATTGTAAGTCTAACTAAATAAACTGACATCCAACTGTCTAACTCACTCTGACTTTATTCCCTTTTATTCATCTGAGGTCCTGTCAATGTAAATGGAACATGTATATGCATACATGATACACTTTATGGGGAACACAAAGATATTAACTCTTTTTATTTCCATCTCTCTTCTGTTTGTCTCCAGCCTCCCCCGTCCCCTTTCTTTTTTTCTCAATTCATCCATCCATCTCTGCCCCCACTATTTGTTTGGTTCTTCACAAGTTGCAATCTAAACAATTCATTAATCCTATATATATATATATATATATATATATATGGAAAAGTGTGTATCATTTTAAAGGATGTAAAGTTGTGTTATTTTAAGTGAGAAAAAGAGATAGATCAAGGGGAAGAGAGAGTGGAAAAAAAAAAAAAAATATGGTCTCACCTCTTTGTGAGAGCGAAATGACACAAGTTGTGTCATTAAAAAGGACAAACACTTTTCCTATATATATATATATATATGTTGAGATATATAGTCCCACATTAGTTGTATGTGCAACTAATGTGGAGTTTATAAGGTCTTGGGCACTCCCACCCTTTGAGCTAGCTTTTGGGGTGGTGTATCCCAAGGTTCTTTACATGGTATCAGAGCTTGAGGTTCGATCCTCACCGCCCCCCATTTTAAAGTGGAAGCACAAAAAAGGTAAACCAAAGATTGAGCCTGTTGCATAATCCACTCTTCAAGCTCAAAGGGTGGGAGTGCCCAAGACATTATAAACTGTAAAGAACCTTGGGATACACCACCCCAAAAGCTAGCTCAAAGGGTGGGAGTGCCCAAGACATTATAAACTCCACATTAGTTGCACATACAACCAATGTGGGACTATATATCTCAACACGCCCACTCACGCAAGAGCCCTCTTGGCTTGAAGAGTGGATTATGCAACAGGCTCAATCTTTGGTTTACCTTTTGTGTGCTTCCACTTTAAAATGGGAGGCGGTGAGGATCGAACCTCAAGCTCTGATACCATGTAAAGAACCTTGGGATACACCACCCCAAAAGCTAGCTCAAAGGGTGGGAGTGTCCAATGCCTTATAAACTCCACATTAGTTGGCTCATACAACCAATGTGAGACTATATATCTGAACACGCCCCCTCACACGAGAGCCCATTAGGCTTGAAGAGTGGACAATGCAACAGGCCCAGTCTACCTGTGCTAAGAAACGCCACAAGAGAAAGTGGGGGGCGGCGAGGCTCTGATACCATGTAAAGAACCAATTCAATCCAAAAGCTTAAGCTATTGGGTGAGGCTACATTAATGGTTTTTATATATCTGAACACGCCCCCTCACACGAGAGTTCACTGGGCTTGAAGGGTGGAAATGCACAGGCCTACCTACCTGTGCGAACAAAGAAATTCCACTTGAAAGAAAGTGGGGGCGGCGAGGATAGAACCCGGGACACGAGGCTTTGATACCATGTAAAGAACCTTGGGATACACCACCCCAAAAGCTAGCTCAAAGGGTGAGAGTGCCCAATGCCTTATAAACTCCACATTAGTTGGCTCATACAATCAATGTGGGACTATATATCTCAACAATATATATATATATATATATATATATACTTAAATGGATGGTTAAGACTGTCTGCAAAGACTTGCAAAAAAGACATGGAAAATGCTGACAAGAAGAAGCTGGAAATAAGAATCTGAAATAGAATGGGCAGGACTATTTGAATAAAATTATCATATCAGGTCTTCCATTAAATTTCAGATAGCCAAGATCAATACAAAGTTTAAATTCAAAGATGTCAGATACTCATGTTAAAATGCATTCATAATCAAAGCATGGTTAGGTATAAGCGGAAAACTCACCAGACGTTTAAGCTTGTGTGAGTAATATTTTTGATGGGAAGGGTGCATTCTTATATGCTCATCCAAGTGACCTGCCCTGGAAAATAGGAATCTTAGAATTCACTGGAATGCAGGAATACACAGTGAAAATATCACCTGTGGGAGGTCAGAAAGATAATGGAGGAATCCATACTAATTACAGTGTTGCAGTCTCCCAATCTCAATTAAAAGCCCTTTTCTTAAGTGTGATTGATTTACATATTTTATCCTTGCATCCATTCAATGTTTTTCTGGCTCTACTTTATGTTCATCAGTTACGATATATAACAGTAGCACCAACTACAAACATTCAGCACAAGTTCATTTTATAGGAAAAGAGCATATATCACGGTACAACTTAGCACCAAGTCACAAACTACAAGGGCATAAACCGTATAACAGCAAAAGCTTCTTATTATGTCACTCAAGAGAAACCACCACTCCCCGTTAAACCCAACTAGTGAGTGTGGGGTGAAGGCAATCCTTGTACACAACCTTATCCTTGCATGATTGCAAAAGAGGTTGTTTCCTGGATTTGAACCCAGGACCTTTCAGTCATAAAAGAACAGCTTTATCACTGCTCCGATTCTCCCCCTTTTATGTCACTCAAGAGAAACGATGTTTAAAAATGGGAGCATTAAATGAATGTTCCATCATTTGTTGTTGCATAGCATGAACTGCCAGCATTCTTATGAATATGGTAACCTATGCTTGATTATTATCAAAGAATAGTAGTTTCCCCACCAATAACTTCAAAGCCCATATACCTGAAAAGGGTTTTTCTCTTTCTCTTTCTTTTTTTTTTTTTTTTTTTTTTGGGGGGGGTGGGGAATCTTAGGCACTGCTACTTGTCACTTAAATTTTCAGCTTACCCATCACAAAGGACAATGCTACAATCAAGGCATGTTGCCAAATTTGATGAGCTGTGGCATACATTACAGTTTGCAGCCAACAAGTCTTTACTGAACTGGTGGCATCTGCACAAAAAAGTCAACCAAAGTCTGCTGAGTTTGTTTCATTTCGACGGCAATCTCCATAGCAAGGCAGAAAAGTGTTGGCCCATTTAAGAAGTACAATCATTTAACAACATGCTCTCTTCAGATAATATAACAAAGGAAGTTCAAAGCATAAAAGTACTCATAAAATAGTATTCTAAACAACTTAAGTTAATTTCCACAATTTAATGGTCACCATAAAGGTCAAACCCCAGTACACATAGCTTCCCGAGTTGCGAGGGTATCAGTGGGCTTCGATTGTACGTAGCCTTACCTTTGCGTTTTTGCAAAGAATCTATTTCCCAAACTCAAATATGTGACTTTCCAGTCACAAGAAGAAACCTTACTGCTAATTCAACGGTCTCCCTCAAATAAAATTTAACTAGCAAATATCCAAGTGATTCTATCAAAAACACCTCACCTTGCTCAAGGATAGAAGCATTCAAAAAAATTTGTTTTCCCTAAGGTGATAAACAAATTCAACATTAAGCACAGATCACATGGACCTTTTCACTAAGAAACTTATATTTATAATTCATTTCCTACAACCCAACAAGACAAAATATGCACTTCAGAATATCAATTAAAACTGAAGAAGAAAGACTAGATAAAAAAGAATTGGTAGATAATACTGCAGAAAGAAACTTGATGGTAAATCAGGACTGCTTTAGTATTTGTCGTAGTATCAAATTAGGGAATGATTAAATAACAATAGAACAGGTAAGAGGAACACAGAATCCCCAAGAGAAGACAGGTAAACAGAAATTTCCAAACCTTCTATATAGTCCAAGAAGATCCTTTGGAATGGTACTAGATCTATTACTGCCCATTGCGATCTAGATAATAAAGAATAAAATAAATCAGTGTAAAAATTAAAAAAGGTAAACTTTTATGCCTGAAGAGCGTCGATGCCTAACCTGACTGCAACTCTGTACTAGACAATCTTCAGCTAGGTGCCCGGGTCTTTGACATTTCCAACTACAATAAAACAAAACCCATAAACATAGACCACAGCAGACAAGGGTGATGTATATATATTTATGCAAGTGCATTGCTGTGGAATATGTGCATGCATTTGCCATCATTAGGGATGGGGATGGGGATGGGGATATTAAGTTCCTCAAGCATATAACCAAAACTCAGTATCTCATGATATGCATCCATATTGTTATAGCTGTAATGGATAATAAGCAGAAAAAAACATATTACACCATTTTCGTTAAATCTCTGTCATGCCAATATAAAAACTAGAGAGGCCTATTTAAATTCTAGAAGCATGGGTGTTTGATGAAGAATTATACCATTCATAAGTAGAAAGACTAGATCTCTTTTTTGACCAGCGATGCCGGTTATCATCCCAGGTATCGTCACCAAAGAAAGGAACTGGTGAGGCATCACTAATTACAGATGAAGAGAAATCTCTAACTTGGTCGTGAGAGGATCCCTAAAAACATTATGAATGAAGAAGAGAACATTTAGGAGTTGGAAGGGTTAGAACTTTAAGACAAAAAAAAAATTCATAGAAGTACCTCATCGTGTTTAAGAATTTCTAAAAGTTTACTTTTGCACTCCATGCTACAGACATCATCATCTGTCTATGAAAGCAAGCAAATATTATACACAGTCATTGCACAAAGCAAAACTTGTTAGGTACAAGTTGAAGTTAACACTTATATCACATTACTCACCTCATTGCATATATATTCTCCATATCTTCCACATATAAGACAAACAGGTTCTCCAGAGACAGGAAAACGCTGCTCATTTCTGCTTTTGATTCCATCAAATTCTTTTTTGTGACCTTGAAAGTAGCCAAACTCAATAAGAATAATAAACAAGGCTTAATAACGGTAAAATGGAAATGACGGAAAAAAAATTCATAAGCTGCAAAAGAAGAAGTTTAAACTTGCAGGTTGATAAACAAACCAGAGTTTGGAAGAGCATCTGTTTCTTCACATTCTGAAGGAGTACCTTCATCACCTAATTATCCATAAATATAAATGAAAATTATTAGAAGCATAGACAGACTTCCAGCTAAGAGCCTAATAGCATATTTTCAGTAAAATTATCTTGGAAGCATTGTCGTCTCAGCTCATAAACTACTCAATAACCCAAGAAAAATAACAGGCACGTTCCTTTCCCAAACTCTAAATAAACCAAAGTACCAAAGGGGCAAAAAGAAGGTGGAATAAAAATCAGTAGACAACAATAAAAGTAGTAGAGGAATCAAGAATATCAGTTCCAAGTATATGAGTAAATGTAAGACTTGACACCAATGAAGCATGGACACTTCAAATAGTAGGCATACCCATGTCAGACACATCACATACAATGATTCATGCTAACATTGATTCTCTCTTTTTATTTAAAATTTAAGTTTTTATGTTGATTTTGTACCAATTTTATGTGTTGTACTATGGCCGTGTGGTGTACTATAGTTTTTAAAATTTGTCATATCCCCATGTCCATACCGTATGCTTTCTAGCTTGACAGGCTCCATTAAATAACTTTTCTACACATTGAATTTTACCAAACCAACTGTAGGATTGAAAGTTCTCATGAATTACATTTCTAGGAGTCATTATTTTATTATTGTTATTTTGTTATTTGTTAGTTGTTGAGTGAATCCGGGTAGTGGATAGGATCGGTTATTTCCTACTTTCTTAGTGGTAGAGAGTGGTTTTCTATTTTTTTGGTTATGTATTGCTTATTTAAAACTCTTGTTATATTGAATAAAATTCATGAAGAAAAAATAATTAAGCACTTGTACATTGAGGTAGGATTCCCTTAGTTGAACTCAAATCCCCTATTTTCTTCCAAAATGCATGTAACAGCTTATTATTCAGAGATTGGCATGGAGGAACAGGTGGAGAAATTGAAAGCCACCATCCAGGGCTTGTCCGATCAATTCCACAAATTGTTCACCCAGTTGTCTGATCGTTTAGATGTCCTAGCCACCTTATCTTTTGGTCACATGTGTAACGCCCGGCCGCTTTAAGAATCAATGACTATCCCCACATACTAACACGAGACTTTCCAGTGTTCTTTTTACTCACTCGCACACTTCCTGGGAAAACTTCCCAGGAGGTCACCCATCCCAGAATTGCTCCAAGTCAAGCACGCTTAACTATGGAGTTCTTCCGTTCTGGGCTACCGAAAAGAAGATGCATCTTGTTAGTATAGGTAGTATCAATTAATTCTTATAAGTCATTCCCAACTGTACCGTCCCATACCAGCACAGTCTCTGGAATCCCTCTCTTTCGGGTGCTGATTCGATTCATTCATGTACCCCCGTCGCTAGAAGCCTGCCAGGAGCCGCTCCTTGTCCATGCTCTTTCGCACCGACGATCACTCCCCGCCCTCGTCAGCACCCGGGATGTTACAACATGGGAGAGAACTCTGCAAACAACCAAGCAAATTACCCAACGCGCTCCATTTCTCTATCAGCCATCATTGGGTTTGCGAGCTATGCAAGGCCCACAATCACTAGATTCACTTTCTGAATCACTTGCCACATCGAGTCACTTCCACTTCCAACTTCCAACCCCAATCCGAATTGGAGTACTCCATAGCTTATTTGCTGATTGGGATTCAAAGAAAATCAAAGGCAGAAGGGGTTGTGTTTCCACTGTAATGAGGCTTATGCTCTAGGCCATGGATGTAAAAAGTTGTACTTAATCTATGCCATGATGGAGGGAAACGATGGAGATGCGAATGTGAATTTGGAAAAAGACTCAATTATGTGATCCTACTTTGAGGACAAGAGTAAAGAAGGGAGGGAATGTTCGGAGTAATTATTTTGTTGGTTGTTATTTGATAGTTGTTAGTTGTTGATTGGGCCCAAGTAGTGGATAGGATCATTTATTTCCTACTTTCTTAGTGGTATTTTTTTTTTTTTTTTTGTGTATTACTTGTTTAAAACCGTTGTTGTGCTGAATAAAATTTATGAAGAAAAATATTCAAGCACTTCTGCATTGACTTTGAGACAAGGCTCCTCACTTGAACTCGAATCCCCTATTTTCTTCCAAAAACAGGTGTACGTTATCAAGTCCATAAATTTTTAGAGAACATTGTTAACTATTCTATTATATACTTATGAATGTCCGAGATCATCTAAATTTTTTATTTTTATTTTTTTGTAATAGAGATCATCTAAAATTTGGTAATGCATGATCAAGAAAACAATATTGCATGACCTAATTGTTGGATTGGTAAAACTTGCATTCCTAAAATAAAATAAAACCACAAAACAGTAGAACCAAAGTTATACAAAAAGTTATTTAATATAAAAAAAAAAGTAAGTTATACAAAAGTTTCCATAAAGCTCACTTGCATAATCCACCAAGGAGACGGCAGAATTAGGGTTTCCCTGGCACAGAGGAAGCAAAATGTGAAAAGGAATGACGGAAGAGCAGTCTTCAAAGATAAGATAATATGAATCAAATTTGCAGTAACTGAAAATTACCAAGACATCTTCAGTCAATCGAAGGCGATCGCAATTTCGCGACGAAGCAACTTCTTTCCTGGTCAGAACATGTTATTAAGATTTACGAATTTACAAAGCAACGAGAGTAAAAAAAAATGCATATTGCATAAACAGGAAGTACGAAGCATCGGTGGCTGGCAGCAGTTGCTTAATTCATAAACGAATATATATATATATATGATTGAAGGATGAGACAAGGAAAATTGATTTTGCCTTCTATTTTCGATGTAATCGCGGTGTGACATAGAGAAAGGGCCATCGTCGTCATCATTGTCGCCGTCATAGCCTCGGGATTGCGGTGGCCGGGGATCCCGGCGACGTTTGAGGGAGGTGGAGGCGGTGGCGGTAGGAAGGGGATTTGGTTGATCGCCGGATTGAACATTGCCGGTGGCGATGTTGTAAGCTGAAGATTTAAAAATTGATAAATTGATAGAGAGAGAGTTGGAAAAAAGAAAGAGAATGGAGAGTGACCTTGGAGGTTCTGAAGAACGGAGGAGAGGCTGAAGTGTTTGTTGTAAGAGATTGACGGATTCTTGTAGAAATTTGATCGAGTTCCCATTTCCCCTCCTAACTCCAAATTTCCAAATCACACAAACAAATCGGAGAAGAAGGTACAGCACAATTTCTTTTTTCTTTTTTGTCTGATACTATTTCACAGTAGCCTAAAGTAAGAAAATATCGTATAAAAAAGATAAGACACTGTTATATCAATGAGTGGTACTATTAACGTCACTATCAATTTATTTTACTATTAAATTGATTATATTAGTTTAAGAGAAATAATTATCTTATGTTGCATAGGCTTGTGCCATCACTGTTCCCCGCACTCCGGATTAGTCTCATAGCCGACTCAAAGAGTCGAAGCTCGTGGGGATACCGAAAGGAGCCAACTCGTCTCAAAGAGATAATTAGGGTTGGGTAACTCCAAAAAAAAAAAAAAATAATTATCTCATGCAATACAGACAAAATAGTGAAGTTCCTTTAGTTTAATAATTATATTTATTTTTATATTTGTAAAGTTATCCCATAATCATATAAAAATAAAATAAATATAAAATATTTAATATAGAAAGAAGAAGAAAAATTAAAAAAGTTAAATCAGAACCATTAAATCAACATAATCAATTTAATATTAAAATAAACTGATAATAACATTAATAATTTTAACACTAATTAATAGTATTAATATCTAATTTTAAAAAAATTTAAAAAACATCTTCAGTACTATGGAGTACGGAGTACTGAAAGTGCATCCTTTGTTAAATAAAAAACAATATATTTATCTTTTTCATTTTATCTATTTTTGTATGATTATTTTTCTCTAAGTCCCCATTATTTTTTATTAGTAAAGGAGTATATATTATTGTAGCAGCAGTAAAGATATGCTCCTTTCTAAGCTAAAAATTACTTTTATCTTAAAGTTAAAAAAAATAAAGTTAAAAAATATGTCATAATTATAAAAAGTTATTCTTAGAATTTTGAAGAGAGAGATGAAATAATTTGTTATTAGGATAAATTATAAGAGTAAATGATAAAATTGATATGTAAAAGTTTAAAATAAGGATGTAATTAAAAAATAAACATGAAAAATTCAAAAAGCTAACATATATCTTAAAAGAAGCTTTTGAAACTTTTAACTTTTTTTTCTTCCATTATAACAAAAAAAGCTCTTTTAAAGATAAGAACTTTTGTAGACCTATACAATAATTGTTTACCTAAAATAGAGCTAAATCTAAGGAAACAAATAGGAAACATATCTATCTTAATAATAGATAACCAATCTAAAATATTTGCATAATTTTTTTTGTTATATTTACAACAAACCTCTTAATTTGTCATAACCCCATGGATCAGAGATAATACATGTTAGGTCCTGGATAGACCGTATTGCTATACCGTAGGGTATGCGCTCAGAGATAGTGTATATCAACTGTATACTAGGCTTATAGCCGAGGTCCCAATCACTGCGCACAAGCAATAGGCTTATAGCCAAGGCGTGAGTGTGTGCACAGCGTGGGCGGAAGTAGTAAATGTGTTCTGAGTGTTTACCTGGGGTCCTTAGGCTCTTATTTATAGGATTACCTTCATAGGCTTGTGCCTCTTGAGATCCCCCAATCGTAGTAGGATTCAACCTCCTTCTGTTGGGATGTGATCCTTATCTTATACCCTTTGGCTGTTTGGAGTTGTTGAGATGTTGCTGATTCCATATCTCACCAGATATTCTAGTAGGTAGTTGGGATATGATATTCATATCCATAACAGTACACAAAGATGGTAAACAAACTTACATTGTGATATTGAAGTCAAGCATTTGATATAAAATATCTTAAAGACCAGCATGATAATTCCAATGTACTAAATGCCTTCTCACATTCAACTTCAGTCAACTTCTTTTTTCTCTTTTCCATATAATTTAAAATACAGCGATAACTCATTCAATTTATATAAAATTAACTTGCTTTTTCCAAAACTTCTAACCCAACAAAGCTATCTACATTTAGGTCCAAGATGGTGAACAAACTTACATTGTGATATTGAAGTCAAGCAGTTGATATAAAATATCTTAAAGACCAGCATGATAATTCCAATGTACTAAATGCCTTCTCACATTCAACTTCTTTTTTCTCTTTTCAATAAAATTTAAAATACACAATAGCGATAACTCATTCAATTTATATAAAATTCACATGGTTTTTTCAAAACTTCTAACCCAACTAAGCTATCTACATTTAGGTCCAAGATGGTATTCACATGTCACCATTGTTTATTAATTTCTAAGGTCTGTATGTAAGTAAATTTTCAGCTTTTTGTCCGGTGGGCAACGATTGACAATATCATTATCATGTTGTCAAAATAGGGATTAAGCGCCCAAATAATTGAGAAAATAATCCATCTCGAAACTTAAAACATGAAGTTTGCTAACACCAATCCATTTTTTTTCATAACTCTTTTTAAAAAAAAAAAAAAAGCATTCGACCGGTCCAAATCGGGTTCCATTTAACTCGTCGGGTCACCGATACCCGGTCGAGTCGACCGGTCCAATCCAGGTCTATTGCGTAACCGATCCAAAGGGCCGCTCAAATCGAGGAACCCACCAGGTCATTGAGACCCGGGTAAACCCGATTTTTAAAACACTGCTTTAGATAACTTTATTTAATGTTCACCGAAACGACGTCGTTTTAGAGCGAAAATCATAGTGTGTTTATAATTTTAATTTATTTCAGGATTATAATAGTATTTATTATTCTAATTTTTCAACTGCAAAACGACGTCGTTTCGGTGAACATTAGTCAAAGTTGTTTAAATTAACATTAGATACTTTGTTCCCTTTCTTGTTTTTCTTAAAACTCTTTTTAGGATAATTAATGAAACATGTGTTTTTTATGTTTTGAAAAAATTGTTTTTAGAATCAATATTTAAACTAGCCTGTTGAGATATATAAAATCATTAATGTAGCCTCACCAAACAGCTTAAGCTTTTGGGTTGAATTGATTCTTTACATGGTATCAGAGCCTCGGTGTACCCGGTTCGATCCTCGCCGCCCCCCACTTTCTTTCAAGTGGAATTTCTTTGTTCGCACAGGTAGGTGGGCCTGTGCATTGTCCACCCTTCAAGCCCAGTGGGTTCTCGTGTGAGGGGGCGTGTTGAGATATATAAAACTATTAATGTAGCCTCACCCAACAGCTTAAGCTTTTAGGTTGAATTAGTTCTTTACATAGCCCTTTGTTGTACTTATAAGGAGAATAAAAGTTAAAATAAGAGCTCCCAAATTTGTACACATAATTTTTACATAGCCCTTTGTTGTTCTTTACTACTCTTTATACTAAAAATTTGTACACATAATTTTTTTATTGAATTTTTTTACACTTTAATTTTATTTATAATTTATTGCTAAAAGTAGTATTTTTTAATAATTTTTTATTTATTAAATAATTATAATTAAAAAATTGCTATTTTGAGTGATGATATAATAGAGGGAATATTAGTTTCTCATATTGAAATGAAACAATTTTGTCTCATACACATACAAATTATATAATTTTTAACTTAATTAAGTGTTCTCATTTGTTATGCTATCAAACAAATTTAACTTCTAAACATGTATTTTAAAAATTATATTATTATCGAATTAAATATTTTTATACTGAAAATACAAATTATGTATTTTTTTTGTCAACTTAATATTTCTATGAAAATATGTAACTTTTTTATTTGAAAAATAAATTAAAATACCGTATTTATTGTAATTATATTTTTAACACATATTTTTTTTTGGTAAACTTTTTAACACATATTAAACAAATATAATTATATACCGAGTTTAATTATCATTAAATTTTCTATCAAATGATTTTTTTTTATTCTCTCTTTTGGACTCTGCTTAAATTCACAATAATTTTTATTTTTTTTTAGTATAGACAAATAGACAATCATATTTTGAGAGCTACAGGGTTTTGAACTCTTTAGTCATTGCCTATAATAAGCTCAGGGTTTTGAGAACCAAATTCGATGTTGGGTGATGTGGTAGGAGTTGAGGGGAACAGTGATCAAAGTGTCACGTTTGGACAAAAAATTTACCAAACTGTCACGCCAACAGTAAATTTTGCCAAAATGCCACGCGGCATAATTCGCTACACAGTGTAGCGAATTATGTATGCAAGTAATTCGCTACACAGTGTAGCGAAATATGCCACGTCAGAGCAAAAAATGCCACATGTCAAATTTTGCAAAATTCGCTACCCTATGTAGCGAATTTTGTAAAATTTGACATATGGCATTTTTGGTTCTGTGCATTCTGACGTGGCATATTTCGCTACACTGTGTAGCGAATTATGCCACGTGGCGTTTTGGCAAAATTTACTGTTGGCGTGGCAGTCTGGTAATATTTTTGTCCAAACGTGGCAAAATGGTCACTCTCCCGGAGTTGAGGTGGAGGCGCCACTACACAGAGAAGGTCTAAGTTCGAATTTATTTTATATTTTTTAATAAACGATAGGTATCTTGTGGGGAAAATAATCTTATTGGAGCCGGAACATCTTCGTAGTGGGCTAGCTCTTGCCTCTATCAAAGAAATATTTTGTATTCACAACCAGTTGAATTCGAGATCTTGTTAAAAATTTTGGTAGTGAAAAGTGAAGGTATTTCTAAGGACAAAGAGGATTTTTCATTTATTAAGATTCACTTCCACCTGGGTTTCTTCTAATGAACTGAAAGCTTGTGCCTTCTATGAGGTTTTGAGTTACTCGGTGAGTGTTGAGTTTGCGCGTTATGCTGGGAGAAGGTGGTGGTGGAATATGTTATTGTTGTTTGTGCGGTAACGGTATGTGCTGCTGCGTGCCACCACTCATTTCATTGTTTACCGCTTGTAAAACAGTTCATGAAAAAAAAATAGAACAGAATCAAACATGTTTTATATTATTTAAATTTAATTTAAAAATAAATATAATTTTTAAAATCATTTTTACAAAACAAATATTATTAAATAAATTTTTATATTTTTATTATAAAAATTAAAAAAATATTTTTGAAAATAAAATTCAAATAATCCATTGATTTTGATAGAGGGAAAATTTGGAACAACGATCAGTATGGCATTTCTTTAATAAAAAATACCGAGATATCATGAGGTCAGTAATTTTGT